ATTGTAAACAATTTATTATTTTAATATTTGACTAATTGTATATATAGGTATATACTTTTAAAATTGTTTACTATATTTAAAATATAAAATATATTTGCCATGTATTTAAATACTTTTTATACTTTATACTTGTTTCATAATAATTTTGAAATACTTTATTATTTGGTGATTAAACATATTATATATATATATTAATTATAAGGTATTTTRTGAACCAATGTGTGTTTGGACGGGCCGCAATCGGGATACTTAAATTTGGGATAAAATACGACTACCTGAATTCGGGCCGCAATCGGGCAACTCCGGTTTATTGTAGTATCGTGGTGAAATAGTATAGAGAACCTTTTTTTTTTTTATATATATTCATCACATTCGAGTAATTATTTCTTTTTTTTTTATTGATCTTAAGCCCTGTGACTAAGACCATTAGCTATTGTAGGGGTTTTGAACTGTGGTAGGGGTAAGGTTTTTACGGTTATTACGGTAGGTAGCAAACACGTGTATGTGTGGCAAGGTTTTTAACTACTATGAACCCGGGTAGTCACCCATCCGGGAGCTAGTAGCTGCGGCCGTTACTTACTCCCAGTCGCATTCCGTGATTGGTCAACGCGCCACGCCAAGCCACAAAAGAGTAATTAAYTGTTATTATTATATTATTTGATTGAATATCAATTTAATTTGGATTTCTACGAACAGTATATATAGCTATGAGTTATATAGAACTTAGTGTCTTAGTGTTTATAATAATTGTGAGTGAAGAGACGAAAACACACAATATTTATTTTTAATAWTGTATACAATAGTATTCGGCATAACAGGTATACCTATGTGAAACGAAAAGATGATCATACCGTATCGTTTTGTGCMAACTTTAATGTGTAGGTTCCATACAACGATAAGTGGAGGGTTATAGGCATAGATATAGTTTCGAGTACGAATCTCGTGCGATGTTCGCGACATGAGTTCGGTATATAATTGAAATGAAACGGTCTAATGCAATTTGCAGTTTTTACTTATATGATTTTTTCATGGTTATTTAAGAGAAATTTAGTCCAGGAATTTTTGTGGACTACGATTGAAAGAAAATATATAACAAACAAAACGCTTTAACTATCATACTTACCGCCAATACTTTGTTAAAGTATATATCTACTTCGTTATAATACGTTAAATAAAAAAAAATTTTCGACTTTAAAATTATTTATGATTTTACAATTCTAACAGTGATGTAGTACAATCGATAATTATTTTTGGAATACTACTTCYAGTACTTTTAGGTATYTACGTAATTTTAATATTACCTATATAGGTATAGATGTTAATRTTTCGACAGCAGTAAAATATCGCTACGGTTATTGYTYGCCGTTCAAAACGTAGCTTACATGACCAAACAAAATCACATATAAGCGAACGCGAGTCATCAGAAACCGATTAGGTGCATGTATTATATTAATATTTTATTATTATTATTAAATGCTGTGTATATACCTATGGTGTAGTCGTCTGTTTTGACGGATTTCTAATCTTCGTTCTAGTCGAAAACGTCATGATATTATTATTGTCATTATTGTCCATCGGCATGATAGTATAATATTAGTCTCATAGATTTAGTGTAGTAGGTACAAAGAGCCAAACAATTATAAAAGGCGTACACGCGTGTGTTGAGTGTGCTGCAGCATATGCAGTGTAAATGTGTAATGCGTGAGAGTGCCTACGAAACGTCATAACATAGTAATAATATTATCGAGTCCAGTGCGACACAATTATAATAATATATAATAGAAAATATTTATTCGTCGTATTACAATGAGTTTTTGGAGAGCCGTTTGTCTGTTGGCATATATATAATAATAATAATAATAATAAAACGTGATAATGGATTAATGTCGAAAACGAATATAATAATATAATATTTCGTTTTACATCCAACTTGAACGCGTAGGATCGTCGGCCAGGCGAGTCCGATTATAATAATAATATATTAATACCGTGACCACCACAAGCCCGCGATTTTTCCGTTTCAAAAGGAAAACGATTGTAGTGCGCACGCGCGCGTTCGACAAATATCATCGGAAAAATAGGCTTCACCGAAATTTATACGACTTCAGTTTTCGTTACGCATTGTCGTAAAAACGAAAAACGAAAAACGCGTGTTACGCGGGTTCTTAGGTTACTATAAAGTCGAAACAAAAATTCGGAGAAATTTCGCCATTCGCCATACGTTATTATTGCATTATTATTTCTAGCTCGCTGCGCCACAACGACGACGTAAACCTACAGACAAGTACTTACCACACGCATACCGTGGTTAGGTCAGGCATTACGACTTACCTGCAGCCACCTGTACGTCCGGCAAGGTGAATATAATAATATCCACAGTGTGGTTATATTGAATAGGATTGTTTTAGTTCTTTTAGAGCTAAACGTTCTGAACGTTTGACTAGAATGTTATACATATACATAACGAGTCGWWTAAAAATTAGGACGGACGCTGCTTGCATYATCCGCAATATAGTTTATTTTATAAGATTCACATATAATTATTATTTATTAAAATATTATCATTATCACACAGACGCACATTAAACCGTTTTTACTRGTATAATTATGTTTTACGACGTCGTTAATTCGGTTTTGAAGATACTTATCCTGAAAAACGTGAATTTTTAGTTGAAGTGGTACAAATCCAACGGAAATCCTTGTAAAGAAAATCAGAGATCCGTGTGCGTATCAAGTGCGACAAGATGCTTGTGATATAGACTTCCGCATATACGATTAAACAGCTATATAGCTATAGTACACCACAGATTTTTGGAGTATAAAATATTATCATCTAGTATATCGTCGTTTCAGAGGCAGATCAAATTTATTCGATTCAAAATAAATAATATAATAACAATATTAATGATAATATTAATACTTAACGTCTAATTGYAATGATAATGCTAGTTAATAATGTAAAAAAAAAAATGTTATACCGCCACAAGTGCGGTATACCGTATGACAATAAATAATAACCATCGACTTCCGTACCTATTATTACACGGTGTACGATGTAAGTATAATACGTTTCGTCACTAAATAATCGTTACGTGATCGGTGGTCGTCGTGTTGGCTCCGTCGTCGATCATCGCAGAGGGATCGCGTTGGACKTGGTGCTCCGGATGGGCTCCTCGTAGACGGGCATGTACGAGCTGTACGCCATGTTGGACGCGGCCACCGGTTCGCCGGGAAGGCTCCTGCGGTAATGGCCACCGCTGCCTCCGTACGTGATGTGCTCGTGGCTGCTGCCCCCCTGGTCGCTGAACAGCTTTTTCAGGCCCACGATGGCGGACAGGGCCAGCGCCAGCTTGGCGATGATCAGCGCCTTGCCGGCCAACAGAGCGAGCACTCCGAACGCCAACGGTATGGTCATGCCGCCCATCATGAACGGGTACATGAGCATCGAGTTGTACTTGTTGCTCTTTTTGCGACCTTTATTTAACAACATAACGAGCAAGTGTGGTTAAACAAATAATCGGATCAAACAACGATAATATTGTCTACGAAAAAAAAAATCACACCAGATAAATATTATTGTTTTTTGGATTATTGGGTGTTTTTTTTTTTTTGTTTAATTTTACTTTTGTTTGACTATACAGCAGCTGTTTTGATTCGTTCAAAACGAATGATTGGTATAGTGAAAACTAACTGAATAAGTGATATCATAAATATGCTGTGTATCAAAATATTTAAAAAAAAAAAAAAAATGTTATACCATGATTACGCGCATGCCAAGAGTAAGAATTGTTTAATCGGATTTTTAATTAAAAATTGTATTATTATTCCTCTAATCTATAGCTAACGACAGAAGATAATGTAAGTAATACGCATCATCGTCGGACATCATTGTCGAAGCTTCAGATTTAAGAGCAGCAGTCTTAATATTTTTATTAATTAAATATCGAATTCTTAGTAAAATTATTAACAATTTCATCGATAGATACGAACATATTATATGAATATTGCATATTTTTTTTTTTTTTATTGATCAAATAAAAACTCGGCAACTACATGGCCATTAGTTACAGTTGTGGTATGTTTACATGGTTTAAGATTTTTACAACATTTTTTTTTTTAAAGGGGATTACAATATTAAAGATAAGTTATAACAGTATGGTTTCTAAGTATTTATATAAGAAAGAATATTGCATATTATATACCTATTTATGTAAATATGTTAATATAACAACTTCCGAAAACAGGAAAATAGAAATTATAAAGAATACCTATATCACAGCTTTTTCTGTACTTAAGATTATATTTTTAAATTTTTTTTTAAAGAAAGATAAACGTAGATATTTCGAACTATTTAGGTATGGATAAATAAATAAGTTTGATGATAGGTGATTATTAGAATCATATAATTTATAGTCTGATTACTAACCAACTAACTGTAGATAAGTAAGAAAGTCTTCACACGTCAGCAGTGTCTGCGCCATTTGACAAGATTAAATTTCAGAATTAAACTGATTTCCGGCGTGTGGTCGGGCGTGTGGATGAGCGGACAAAACAATACAGCCATATCGTATACGATACATCGTTAGAGAAAGGCCGATAACTGTACATTTTAAGATACCATGCCCAATAACAATCGATATCTAGGTGGATGTTGACGCTTCCGCCATGCAAAGGAGTGGACGTTAGAGACGACTCGGCAACTAATAATAATATATAGGTCGATTCGAAGACGCGTAACAAGAGGGTGTGCGAGCTAATGAGAACTTCGATAATGAATTTAAGAATTATAATGGGATTATTATTATTATAACGGAGGATCCCGCGGTGCAGTGGTGCGTAGGTGTATCATATTATTATTATTTTTATGGATGGCTGCGCGCGTGGTGGTGACTCGAGACTGTCCGTCAAAAACCTATACTGTCAGATCAAAATATTACCATCGTCATATTAATAATTATTAATTGATTATTGTTTTAAAACGACGACGATCGCGACTCCATATCGTCGACTTTTTGATCTGTGACCCGGTTTCCACTGCATTCGTCGCGCGCCGCTGCGGTGTGAATATGTTCGCGAACGTGTACGCCACAGGTAGTTTATAACATAATAATAATAATAACAATAAATGTGTGTAAGAATCGACTGATGTGGAAATCGTGCTGTGAAGACGCGTCTCTGTCAGAATTTGTTTAGACGTTTAGAATGACTTCGGAAGGGGGAGAGGCAAGACGACAATTCGTCTAACACACGTATAAATAGTGGAATCGATGTTATTTTTAAAATGATTATTATTCGTTTTATTGAGTTTACTCCAAGCACAGAGAGCAGAAAGCGTATTGATGTGGGGGATAGGGACCCCCGGCACACGGCGTGGGCTGACAAAAGACTTGTGAGAAATTTAAATAATATGGTATAGTATTACTGCCGATATAATATAGTAAAGATCAAGATTATCAATATTGTGCTACGCATTTTAAATGCATTTATATAAGCATTTATCAACCGTAAGATTATCTACATCTAAAACATGTGTGAAATTAAAAAAAAACTTCACGCGAAGATGGAAAAAAAGAACAGAGATCTCTGATAAAATGAAAAACTTTGACCATAGCTATTGTACACTATTACTACTAAAAGTTAAATAGACCTTTAGAAAACTAAAAATATTGTGTTTTTAACTAARAAATTATATTAATAGTATGTCTCTATATTATTTTTTCAACGAGCCATATTTATAATATACCTGTATTATAGTGAAAATCGAGTTTATTAAGATCTATTTTAAGAATATACTCCTTAAGACTGCTAATCAAATAAGATTGCCTAGACCTACTATAATCTTGAAAATAATAGAAAAGCCCCACGCAAAGATCCACAAAAGGATAGAAATTCCTAAATTGAAAAACTTTGATGAGAATATTTATATCGAATAATATATTACTCAATAGTTATAATTTTAGAAATCTGCTAAAAATAGTAGATGGCACAAATTGTTGCAATCGAAAAACAAGGTCAATCTTAAAAATTGCCATCTCTAAATAAAAAGCTTCATAAAAACTATAAATTTTTCCACGACGTCGGCTGTGAGCTTTAAACGTCATCGATATAAACAATAATAATATATATATGTAAGTAGATGGAAAATTCAACCAAAATTAAGGCCGACCCATCACTGACAACTGCGTACACCTTATATTATAATAATACATTTTTGTCATCGATTTGCGAGGTGTGCATCGCAATATAATGTGACAATAATATGTTAATAATATTTATATCTATTATATATAGTACAATACTAAATTGTTATTATTGTTATCACGATATTGATGTCACCTCGTCGTCCATAGTAATAGTGTATACAAACCGATATGAGCTCAAACAATAACAATCAACAGGTGCATTGATAATAATAATAATATATCGATTGGTCGTTACACGGTATGCTACGGCGGAGAATAATAATAAAATAATTGTATACAGGGTGGTCCATTTACCCCGCGTAAGACATTCTTTATCGCAGAAAACAATAACCTCATTGAAAATATTATTTTTCCGAAAGTAAAAAGTCGTCACTAGACAACTACATATGTATATTTTGGAAAGATATTATATTTTTACTTTTTTTTTGTCATTATCATTAATTTATAAATTTTTAATCTTCTGAATGATAACGCCATGCATGTTAATTTCATATCCTGAGTAGAATATTATTCAGAGCACATTGATGCATAAAAATCAAATCTTGAACAAGGCGTGTGATTTATAAGTCGGTATGTAAAGTTCAAATCACCAAAGAGTAGACCAAGATTGTGTGGGGTATTTTCTGCACCACTCCGTTCTGCTCATATAAATTTTAAAATTTAAATACTTATATTATAAATGACTTATCTAAAATTTGATTTTTAAAAATCAAAGTATGTACTCCGAGGAGAATTCTGCTTTAAAATAAAAAAAAATGCACTATCAAAAGTAAACAATTTAAAAAATGCTGACAGTAAAATTTTTTGAAAATATAAAACATTTTAAGGAGAATGTATTATTTTTAAATATTATTAAAATTTATTTTTTTTTTCAAATACGTGAATATAGTTGTCAAAATAATAATTATTGTCTTACGTTAAAATGTGGATTACTCAGTATACACTATATCAAATACCGTATGGGACTTTTCTTCAGTCAGTAATAGATTAAAAAATGAAAAAAGAAACGTGAACCTCTGTACTACTGTACCAGCACCAAAAATCAAATGTACATATAAAACTCGTCCGACCGTTTGGTTGACGACGATAAAACGTTACTATAAAGTATAAATTATTATGTTTTTCTGCTAGTCATCAGAAATTTCAAAAAAAAAAAAATAACCGCGCACAGAATATAATGACAGTAGTTATAATAATAATAATAATAATAATATATCGTCGGAAAACCTTTCAACGGCACGCATCGCCTGAGGTTGCGTTTTTCAGATGTCAGCATGTACGTAACCTTACATATTATATACCTAATATATTTTAATTTTTTTCAATTTTTTTTTTAAATCCTTAACAATATAATATAATATAGACACGATAACACTGGAATGAAATTTATGTATAATTTTATCAGTGATTATGATTTAAAATCATTTTTAAGTATTACAACTATATGTGATACATGTTTATTGTTTATTCCGACATAAAAGTTAACAAGAAATTACTTTGATGAATAATGACAATTTGGTAGGTACTTGGTAAAATTATTAATTTTAAATAAACCTAACATATTTTTATTTATAATTGTTACTTTATTGATCTGCACCTAGAAAATACTTAAATATTTAAAAGCTAATGTGTATCTTATTTAAGTTGTACTTAAAATAATATTTATTTATAATGAATTTTAACTAATATACTGAATGTAACTAAAATTATCATATTTTATCAAAGTCAATAACTATATTTTTGTTTTTGGCTTAACATTTTTATTAGGTATTTCTATTTATTTTAATTTTATTAAACATCTAGATTTTTATACGTAGTTGTATTATTATTATTATTATTATTATTGTATAGTTGATTTCTAATTTATTTTTATAAATGGTACTGTTATAGCAGTATATAATAATATAACTGATCAAATTTAACTAAAAATCACAAAACTAGTGGTTAAGAAAAAATGGTATTTCAAATAATTTATTCGTTTTTAAATAAAATCATTAATTAAAATATTTTAATTCAACTATAGTTGATTATATAAAATATTATATTTACTGCAAAATTTTAGCGTATAGAATTGTTGAAGCTTTTTTAATAAAAAAATATTGCAGCCATCATCAATTATTATGTTCAAATTCCGATAGATAACAATGAAAATGTCTTATTCAGTTAATCAAGATTATTGTAGACAAAAATATATTTTCGTTTAAGACCGTGAATGTCGGGTACAAATATCATACCAACTAATAAAACCAAAGAACAAAAAAAAAATCCTTTGAATTAAATTCGTATAAACCACGTTATAATATTAAATTTTTACCCATCACTTGTGACGTATATAGAATCTAGCAAGTGTTGGCAAATGATTACATAGTACATAGGTGTGTCTAATAACAACTATTCGACTTACCATCGGCTATATCTCTGGGTTCGTTGTCAAGAAGCTTGAACTGAAGATTGCGGCTTTTGAAAAAGTTCACCACTCTGTCGACAACCAGCGTGTCCAGACTGGTCGTTTCATCGTCACCCGCGGACCTGGCCGAAGACATGTCATGGTCGACGTCGTTTAGAGCAACAGCCGGATCCTTGACTAATCGGACGCCATCGAATAATTCCATTTCCGGTTGTTCGCTGATCCGGTCGAGGGCCGTCAACAACTTGTGCTTGATACATGGTCCAAACTGCGGGAAAACGCGATGTCGATCGTGTTATTACATTAAACAGTCACGATGGTTATACAACTGAGCAGGAAACGAAATAAAATGCCGTTTGCCGACATCGGCGGAGGACCACCGACTTACCTGCGCCTTTGAACAGTCCTGGAACACCTTGAACACAACTCTGACGTCTCCAAGACCGGTGTCGATCTTACGGGCTTCGGGCTCTTCAGCCACTACCGATGAGGACACGATAGCCACCAAAAATATGACTGCAGCTGATCTCGACATTGCTGTGGATAATATAATATGATTTTGTATTCGATTCGATCGGATCTACGACGACGATTATCGAATATGGCACGACGAACGAAAACTATGGTGACGACGACGACGACGACGAACGTAATAAAGAGTACACGACTGCCGTTGTATAGCGGAGCGCACGAGGTTTTTCCACGAATTGTCCTGCACAGACAGTCCTTAGGATTTTTATACGGCGCCCCACTCTCCCCACCAAATTTTATTTTCACTGGCTGCTTTCCAGCCGACGGCCCTACACACGACCGCTCATACACACGCACACGCACACAACACATCCGGATAACTTCCCGTCGAACATAATTACACCGCGTCGTCCCACCAGGAGAAGACGACGACGCGATAATAACGATTTTTCGCGTCGCCCATCATCGGCGTCGTCTATTGTCATCGTAAAACGATAAATGGAGCTTGACCGATGTGTGCGTGTATGTGTGTGTTTGTGTGTGTGTGTGTGTGTGTGTGTGTGTGTGTGTGGGGAGAGCTCAAGAAAATAGTATAAAAGAGTGAATGAGAGAGAGAGAGAGAGAAATAATAATATATATCATATGTAATACATTGTCTGTGTTTGTGTGTGTGCGATCCCGAGGGGGCCATATGTATGATACGGGCATCCACCGCCGGCCATTTTTGCACTTAAGTACACACAAAAATAATGCCGTGTGAATAGTTTTTGAGCGGATATTACATTTTAACGATAACATATTTTCGTTTTACTGTTTATTACTATTTTTGTTTTTTGCATTGCGTTTCGTTAGTGTGTATGTGTACGTTACATGTACATGTACGTGTGTGTGTGTGTGTGAACGACGTCATTATAATATTTGAATACCGTTTCACCGATCATTTTCAAATCGATTTTCTTTTACTCTGTATTGGTCTACGTAAAATGAAGACGATACCAACAACGACGATGGTGAAATTACGATGGTGAAAATACAATATTATCACCTTAATATTTGTGTTTATAAGACACTAATTTATTATATTATATATTTTGCGACAGTACTTAGCTATGCAATTTATAATAGTGTAAATTCATCGTATTCCTCGTCACTCTCATAATAGTCAGAGTTAAGAAATTTACGAAAATTAAATATTGTTATTCGACCTAACACATTAGCTGTGCGTTAAAAGCTTTTAGTATGAATCCGCGTCCACCTAACTGGTACCTAATAATCATCATGTTCTACGGATGGGTATATTGTTAGAGACTTTAATGCTGGAGAAATTGTCCGGCCCCTAAAAAAAAAACAATTTATTCCCATAGGCCCTAAAATAGGTAGACTATTTACTATTTTTACTCCTTTCTTTTAACTATATTATACTTCTGAATGACTGTTTAAAATACTTAAATCCCAACTTTTCCTGTACGCATACACATTGTAATTTTTATTTTGTATACATATACAATTATATAAATACATAAATAATAAATGTATTATAAATACAATTAATAATTGTTATCCGTGATCAAATAATAATGGACGATTTTTTTTTAACAAAAAATTACCCTCAGCGACATAGGCCATTGGGTTTAATAATGTACGATTATTATGTATTGTTTATTCAATATTTTTTTAAACTTTTTTATCATTAAAACCATGTACCTTTAAGTAAAGAATTTATTGCTTTATTATTTATAGTAGATTATAAAATATTTTAAAATATATATTATATAGGAATTCGAAGATTATTAACATTTCATATCATATTCAAAATTTCACATTGCATACCAATAAATAAATAATAAACATACTGAAAATAGGTACCTATAAAACATACTAAATTAAATTTKTTATACGAATGTTGTATGTATGTACTACGTAAAACTTCAGCCCAGTCATCTTGAATTGATACAGAAAATACAGTGATACACATTTTTTGATAATTTTCAAAATGTTTGTTTTTTTATTGAATGTATGCCCAATACAAATTGTAATTTTTAATACCTACATAAATTGGTATTTTAAACATAGTATAGGTATTATGTATTAAAGTGTTATCGAATTACATACCATAGTTACCAAAGTTGTTACATGTAACCGAGGTGTGGTATCACAACAAATCGTGATAAGTAAAACTATAATACAAACATTTATATATTATTTTAGTTAATACTTTAAAATAATAACTTAAAACATTGGTAAAATAATAGGTAAATACAATGGTCAATAATAATAATAAAATATCATATTTAAATCAATTATTTGATTAAAAATTAACAGATTATAGTTTGAACAAAGTTGACTTTTTCATATAGCCTGCAGTGATTATAAACAGCGAACAACCATTATGGTAACTAGTAAACTCTTCGTTCAAAATATACCATAAAAATTATATATAGAGATGTCCTAAATTATTTATGGTTTTCAATATTCAAATCGGTTACACTGAATTTTTTAGTCATTTTGACCTCTCGATCATGACTTCAAAACCGAAATTACTATCGAGTATGTTTTGATTTCAATCATTGAATTTGTCAACGATTATCCTATGATTTAACAAATTTCCGTGAGATTCCGCGCAGTGTTTTTTCGCTAAATGACTCTTTGTCTATGTAAATATTACAATATTTCTCGTAATTCGTGTTATTTAACAGATCGTGTTACTTAAAATTAATTACTTAATTATAAAACTGATATCTTCCAAGCCAATGATCTCAGATGACGAAACGCTAACTCAATATTTACCTACGTCAATATACTATATAATATATATAGTAAATATCGTAAGTCGGTCATTTACTTTAGCGTGACGTTTGGGAAAAAAGAAAACCCTATAGTTGTAATAATATATTACACCCGTCGTAACAATAAAGCGTGGGTAAACCACGAAAGCATTTTGTGATATTTGATATTATTTCGGTGGCACTCAAGCCATATGTAATAATATGTGAACATGCCTATTACTATCATATAATGACAGTAAATCATTACAAAGTTTTCATTTTATGTTAATTGGTTTAGACGATCGACTGCAGTAATAAGTACACGCCGCCCGAAGTCTTGCCAAGTTAGAAGAAAATACCTGCGATATGAGCCGTTTTCACATACATAACCTATGATTTTTAATATCCGAGTAGGATATTATATTTTTTACCTACCTATACCTACGGCTGCCTGCATGAGCGCCTACCAGCAGCGGCCCTAGGTTTGTTTTCGTAAGCAAATTACATTCAATTACGTGTACCAGAAAAATATTCGTCGTTCATTGTGCTCAGGGCCCCGGCTACTGGGAATACAATACGTGCGCCAGTTCCTAATTAAGAAAAATATGATTCCCCGCAGCGATGTTTGCCGCCTTTGTATAATTAAATATTGTGCGCGAAAACAAACAATATCGTTTCACAAAGCACGGGATATGATATTTGAGTACGTGTGTGTGTCGGTATGTCATATACCTAGGTATACTAACATGAGTGTCGGAATTAGGTCACAAGAAATTGGAACTAACGCGTGTAGGCATAGTCGTACGCATTATAATACTTTTAAAAAATGTTGTACATATCGTGTACTTTATTAACTTATTATGTTTACAAGCGAACGAAACAAAAAGTATGCACAATAATAATTGAATTAGTGTAGCGTGTGTACCTACTATACATTATACGATTATACCTACATTACACCAAACCTGAATAAAACACTCTCGATGGATACTATTCTGCCCTGCACGGTCATAGTGTAATTAATAATTATTAATACAGCCAAAAAGTAACATTTCCCACGATAGGTGCGGTTTCTGTATAGTTTATACCTATCGCAAAACATAACAAAAAAAAAAAAGTTGAAACAACGAATTTATTAATGCAATTTTAAATAATTGTAGTCATATCCATCTGGTAATACATTTTTTTTTGAGCCGGGGAACTTGTTTTCGCTGTATAATCGGTTTCCAGTGTATAGGCTCGTCATTGAGTTCAGTTGGTTTTGAAAGTGTTAAATATTTTTAATTAATGATACTGCATGTGCAGAAAATATACTCCAAGCCATAGGATATCTTGTAAAAGCTAGACACGCTATTGGAATGACGTATATTTTTTAGGTTTACTTAAGATATTTATATTATTATTAGTAATTTTTGTAGTCGTTAGATGTAAATAATCGTGTCCAAAAATATTACTATTAACTGTTCTCCAATAGGGCCAATAGGTACCACGATATACCGTAGAATAGCGTTAATATATGTTTTACATGGTAAAAACGGTTAAAAAATTTGTATTTGAAAAAAAATTGTGTGTATATTATATTTTTTAAATTAAATTTTTGAACAGCATATCGTAAGGAACTTTCTATTACATTATTTTCTAAGCTTGAGTTATAAAATGTTATACCTACGTTTTCCGATTTTCAACAAAAAAATAACTTTAGAATTCCGTCAAAATTTCGTCAAAATCGGTTTTTATTTATCATTAGCTTCGTTTATAAAATACATTCATCACTTCGTTCAAAATCTAAAATTATTTAAAGAAAAAGTGTTTATAAACTATACAATACTTAGGTGCAATAAGCAGCTTATCAATTGATAAAAGTGAAACAAAAAACATGAAAGGAAGTCTCACATTTGAGACACCTGCAGATGATGTTCTACAATTACTACTTGGGTATTGTTTTAGTTTATCTTACTACAATAATAATAGTAATTTGCCAACTACAGCAAAATTTATTGAAAGCCACGGTATAGGTGTCGGTACAACTGCAATATGGCGAAATGACTATTGACGACTATAATAATACATGCGTTCAACTGTATATTAAATTTGTGATTTGTCTATTGTTTGTTAATTGATCGTGTTAATAGACATTATAAAGTATCTATATTCGAAAACAAATTCATATACCATATGTATATAGGTACATTCGATATTCTTGAAAGTTGTTATAATTCGTAATAATATGCGTATACCAACGTCATTATTGTAGAAAATACGAACGACTATTCGTTCTAAAGTAGGTATACCTATTTGATAGAAATTTAGAAATATGTTTAGCATATAAAGTTTAGGTTAGTATATTTAATATGGTATATTATAATATATAATTTATTATAATTAAAAATAATATAACTTAGCCAAATAAAAATGTTATACATATAAAATTCCTTATAGCCTGTTGGCTGTTATATCAGTATATTGACAGAGATAGCTGCCTATTTTC